ACATGGTGTTTAAAAACTAACATTTAGTCTCTGTGGTCTTCCCTGCTTCTATGCAGAAACTTAAACTGGGGTGATCATGGATACTGTAATTTTTTGTGTGTATATATATATATTATTAATTTATTTTATTTTTTTCCAGCTTTGATATTTTGTCCTAGAATTTTTTGTCCTCTTGTGAATTCACCACACTTTCTGGTTTAGTGTAAAACAAATAAAAAAATAAATCTAAAATAGGTGGCAGTGAATTGTGGTAAATTGTAATCTTGAACTGCTCAGGCCAAAATAGCAGAGCAGGAAAAAAAGTCTCCAATTTTGCTAAATCCACTTTTCTACTTTAGTTTTTTTCCCCAGTTCTACAATGTTATACAGTTCTCTGTTAAGTGAAGCAAGCTATGGCTGTTTATAAAAGTTGTGAGTATGAAATGTAACAATAAAAAAAAATACTTACCAAATATTTTTTGTTTCTATTGTTAAGCTGGAGCTGGCTCAGAAACTACCAGATATTTATGCCGTACCAGTAAAACCACAGAAAAATGAACAGACCCGACCCCAGCAAACAAAGTATGACATTCTCATTTTTTCATCTTCGTTTCATAGTTACATAGCTGAAAAGAGACTTGTGTCCATCAAGTTCAGCCTTCCTATGTCATAGTATAGATTTAATTAATCCTCTTTGTGACAATTTACAAAGGCATTGAAATAAAATGTTGCTTGCCCTTTGGCACTCACAACATTAAGGGAGCAAACTTGTCTGAAATCTGCATATACATAGACATACAACACTCTATGTATGCCAGTGGTAGTCAACCTTTTTCTACCTACCGCCTACTAATGCATCTTTTTGGTTGAAAAAATTTCCTTACCGTCCACCAGTTTTTGCACAAGTGCAGAATATTTTTTAGAAAGGAGGGTGTTTTTAAAAAAAAAAAAAAAAATGTACATACATTTATCTTTTTATTTCTACTTAATGCATGTTTACAATGTTTTTAACTTTATAAAGTTTAATGAGAAAACAATAAAGTAAATTGAAATTACCTTTACTAATGATTAATGCGATCCTTGAGGTTGATGCAGCAAGACTAAATATTTGATATCTGGTTCGATTTTCATAAGGAACAAATGAAGGTCTCCTCTTTTGGTGATATTCAGACGACTTCTCTGTTTGCGCATAATATGATTTCTCATCAGTGCGTCAGCTCCCCTCCTCTCCATCCTCAATTCCCCTCCCCACCTTTTTTTTCCCATTTTATTTTTTTATTTTTTTAACCTTCCTTATAGCAATGCCCAGTAGGAAGGCTGAGCTAGGTATCCCACTTAGTATTACTTACTATAGCCCACTATAACAGACAGACACACATACATACAGACAGACAGGCACACACATACACACAAGACACATACATACATACATACAAACAGACAGGCAAACATACATACAGACACACACACAGACATGCATACAGACACACACATGCAAAGACACATACACACACAACACATACATACATACACACATATACACAGACACACACACACACGACACATACAAAGACACATACATAAGACACACACATACGGACACCTACATACAGACACACACAAGACATACATACAAAGACACATACACAAACAAACAAACACACAATATTTTAGTCACCCTCCTGTTTCCTACCTTTTAGGTGCAGGAGGGTGACTTTCCCTGGGGTCCAGTGGTGGCTCAGGTAGATGGGAGTCAGAGTTCCCACTGTGTGTTAGCTGGGGGGGCCCGGTCGCGCTGTTAAGGCGCCCAGCGCTGACCGGGCCCACTAACAATCCACACCCCTCCATATGCGGCCCCGGTGGTTTGCCGCGCGGGCCAGGGCCACAAGTGGTGATGGTGGTACCCGGTCGCAGGGGTACCGCCGGCTCGCACCCGCCTGCCCAATCTCTCAAAATTAGAAAATCCATACCGCCCAACTGGAATCCTGAAACGCCCACTAGTGGGCGGTAGGGACCAGGTTGACGACCCATGGTGTATGCAGATAAAGAATGAATGCTAAATTAAACACTTATTAAATGTAGTTTGCAACTGTATCTTCCCTGTTTCATTCTCAAAATATGTTGCATTAAAATATATTTAACAAGAAAACACTAGCCTGCAAAAGGACAGGACAAGGAAATTAATTTGTGGAAGCAAATTAGTTGGGCAAGAGGTCCTAAAGTTTAAAGGAAAACTATATGGTCAGGAACACAAACATGTATTCCTGACTCTATAGTGCTAAACCCACCATTTAGGTGGCTTGGCTCTCCCTTAAAAGCAATTAAAACTCACCTTATTTCTAGCACCGCGCGGGTCTGCCAGCACTGCCCCTGCCCCCTTGGTGACATCAGAATTGAGGTGTCTCTAGGGTAAGCGTTTGCATGAAAATGCCTGCAGGTAATGATAATACTCACCAGAACAACTACATTAAGCTATAGTTGCTCTGCTGAGTATAGTGTCACATGATATTTTAATAGAAATTCTAACTTAAAGCAAAGTTAATAATTATCCTTTTTCTACAGACTAGTTTTGTAAGTATATCCTATCTAATTAAAGCTATATCGTTTAGAGTATTATGTTAATGCACATTTAATAAATCAACTTCTGTTTAATCTTGTCTGTAAATTTTAGAGAACTTTGATGTAAAAATAATAATAAAATCCCACATTTGGGGTTTTTATGGCCAGGAATTGCTCAGTTAATCTTTAATCCACAACCCACCTGTGTGTTCTAAGCAGAGCAAAAGCATGGCAGAAAAAAAAAATACAAATTTGGCCAAACCATTTCATCTGAAAATAAACAAACATTTTTTGTGGACAGCAGAATTTTGATTATATGGCAGTTCGGCTTGTTGAAATTTCGTTAACTAAAAAAAATTCAGGAAAATGAATCAGAAGAAACAAAAGGCTGCAAAATGTGCCAATTAGTGTACTGCAAAAGAAACATACATCTAATATAAATATTATGTATATATTTTGCAACACACTGATAGGCACATTTTCCTGCAATTTGGTTTATAGTGAGAAAAACCAATAAAGGGAAAAAAAGAGTAGGAACAGTAAATAAATAATTCTATGTTTATTATATAATCTATATTCTATAAATAAAGGTATTTTTATTTCTCTGCTCTGCCGTTTTCCCTCTGTTGGTTGTTAGTCACTTCTCCCTTGATCTGTGAATAAAACCAACAATCTCTTTGGTTTAGAATTTGGCTACATTTTCTATTTGGTACATTCACTCAACCTGAACAAATTCGTATGAATTGCAGTTCATAACTAAACAAATCTCCAAGTCTAAAATTCTGTTATATTAATTACACTTTCTGTGTTCTTCTTTAACATTCTCTCTCCTTTGTTCACTTGATCTTAATATTCCAGTACAGACCATTTTATCATGTTTTTTTTTTCTTCTTTACAATTGTTAAAAATCGAAATAAAAAGTCTTTATTTTTTATTTATTTTTTTATAGTTCTCGCCCTCCAGAGCCCCAGAAACCCTCAACCTGGTCTTATTTAGATAAAAAAGAAAGTTATGGAAGTGATGATGAGGAAGAGCAATACCGACGCCAACTGGCTGATCAGTCAAAGCGTGGATTTTATGCACAGCCATCAAAATACAGAGACACAGAGCTGTGAACTACTCTGAAAAGGGTTGGATGACTTTTCTAGGAGCTAACAATGTACAGTTTTTTTACGCTGAATATCTAATGAAAGACTTTGTGTAACCTACTGTAGCTGGGGCCTGTCTAAGTGTTAAGTCACTTTATTGAACTGGAAAATAAGACCCTTAGCAGTGAGTTTAGGTACAATATGCAGAATGTGTGTATTCTAAGTAAGCTTTTTTTATTGGAACATCATCCGTTTTTAATCATGTTACTTGAGCTTTTGTGGTAGGTTTACATGTGCAGAGATTGTGTATTGCTCTATAATAGATTTACATCACATACGTCTTGTGAAGTTACTAGTGACACAGAGACTTCTTGCATGAAAACTACATTCCAAAAAGAGTGTTTTTTTTAGAAAGTGCCTTTTTCCAGATTGTTCTCGCTTATACGTTGCACTATTGCAAAGCCATACTTCTGGCCATTTCTAGTAGAATCCAGCGGACACTCCGAAATTTGATGATCTGGTGGGTCTGTGTCTAATTTCAAAGTACATAGCAATTCAGCTGCTCGTGTTATATAATGTCATTCCTAAACTATAAATGTTTTTGATGTTTGGCAAAGTTCATCATGTAAAGAACAGTGTCTCCAAATCAGAACCAGTTTTTTCAGTATTTTGGATCAGTGTGGGGTACTTCAGATAAGCTGAATTAGTCAGTTGTAGAGCTGTTACTTCTGAACATCCCTTAAATTCTCTAAATCATGGGATAAGTGAATTTGTTTAAAAAAATGTTCATTGCAACTATTAATCTGGCTGTAGAAAGTCAGGCTTGTAAAGATGTGGTCATGGATGAAATGGCTTTCTTATGGTCTAAATAAAATGACAAACAAGTTCTGACTCTGTGTATAAATGTATTTTTTCACACAACCCTAGACTTATTATGAGAGGTGTTGCCTTAAGAGGAGTTGACACCAATAAATGAGTAACACACTTGACTTTTAAATATTTAATCCTGCAAAACTACTGAATACAGAACCTACTATTTAATTATACAAATGTATTCCTTCTCCACCCCTGCCCCTCTTTCACTGTAATTTTATTGTATCAGTATGTTGGTTGCTGGACAGTCCTTAAGTTCATTGTCATGTTCTTATTGGGGATTTTAATACCATTCGCTACCAAAAAAAAAAATCTGTGTGCTGGGAAATTTAGAAAGATCATATTTATAAATGTTTATTAAATTCCCAGTAGTGCTCCCCACTTTCTAGAAATGGAAAGAAGGGGTTCTACACCTACCAGACATAAAATGAGCTATGTTACTGGTGGAGTGAAAATATTTTCCTTCTATAGTAAAATAGCCATGCTACTCTTTCATACCGTAATACAGAGAATTAACACGAATATGTGATGAAATGAATAATACGTGAAAGGTAGTACCCCTGATGTACCTCACAAAAACGCCCAACAAAATACCGGAAACAAAGAATGTAGGAAACCCAAAACATGTAGATAAAATAATAAGGAATATTAACAACCTGTAAACATTAATGTAGAGAATTCCTCTTAGAGTGTAATGGCAGCTAGAAGAAATTACAAGCAATACATAGTGTTGTACAGTAATAGAAATAACACCCTGGGGGAGTATAAGGTAGAACACTCACAAACAAACATTTCAGGCTCATCACCCCCCTCATGGGTACTGGAATAGAGATGTTATGCTCTTGAGTGTAGAACAAAAGAGAAAATGGACACAATAGTGAAGTAAAATCTGAACAAATGAGGATTTATTGTTTGGCACTTACAAGCATAAAAAAAATATAGGCATATCCCCACCAGTGGTGGTACTCCAGCAAGACACAGATCTCCGAAGCGAAGACCAGGCCAAGACCGGTAGAAATAGCAGCAATAACAAAATGTAAAAACTATAAACCATAAATAAAGTCCAGCAAATCATCAAATGCTTTCAGTCCTAATATCAGGACGTCTTCAGGGATGCATATCATTTTATTGAGTCACCATAGAGATGCTATGATGAAGAGATATGATCTACATAGGCTTGGCAGCCGTTCCAACTTGAGACGCAGGCTGAGCCCATGTGGATTGCAGTGTTTTCTTAATGACGTGTTAAAGTTCGTCAAATTCCAATGCGTGCGTACGTATGTAACCCTGATAACGCGTGCCCTCTCGGAAACATTATGTGCAGGCTGCATTAAAACAAAAGACCAAAAGGAATATGAAAAAAGGATACCAATGTACAATAAAGATACTAATATACATGTGGTACAAATAAAAATGAAATATAAAAAAAAAAAATTGGGTACAAATATTGTAAAAAATATAAAAAATTAAAGAAAAAAATAGAAATAAAAAAATGAATAATAATAAAATTAACGGGGGCGGGGCCTGGGTGTCATGGCGCCTTGACGCATCTAGAGTGCTTCCCAGCTAATGCATGAAATCTATGTGATTTACGACTCCTAGCACTCTCCTCCAGCATTCTATGTGACTTACCTGTCATCTGGAACAAGCCGGGTGCCTTGGATGGCCCCATGAAGCACCACTGGTTTACTCTGCACAAAACTCCAGATGAGGCTTAGTGAATAAGTCAAGCAGGAGAGGCGGCCACTCCCCTGGTCCGTGCAACACAGCACTGACCAGAGTTCTTTTGTGGTCACATTTCCCTCACCCCTCTGGGCCAGCAGTGGATATCCTGGTCCCCACTGAGCATTCATACATACCTCATGTGTGGTCCACGAATGCTACCACTCGCAGTTCACAAGAAGCCTCTCTATCCAAGATGGCGGGTGCAACACGTTCTTGCAGGCAAGCCACGTCTCCCAATCAACATGGCGCTGTGGAGAACTCCCTGCGGCGTTTGGAGAAAATATTCATACGCTTCTTGGAAGCACTAGCGGCAAGAACGAAAGCATCACCCTTAATGCAGCAGTCAGAGGATTAGAGGCTTTCCCAGGGAGCAGCACTTACTACAATGCCAGTCAATTCCTGTACTAGCCCTGCTGGACGGAAGGCCACGAAGGGTAAGCCCCTAAAGCATCGATCACAATGGTGGAGGGCCGTTAGTCATGTATGTCAACCACCCAAAGCAACCCTCTGATTTCTCCCGGCCTGGGAGGACTTGGCCTCACGCAATATCCAAGTCCGTGGTTCACAGACACCTGCCTACATGGCAACCTGGGGATGGGGGAAGGCCTCACCACCTCCTACAACGTCTGTGTAATGATATTGATGTAACAAAGTTTTGGAGTCCAGTAGCCAGATCAGCAATGTTTTCTGCCAGAGGTAGCCACTCGTTACCCAGGTGGTTGAGCCCCTGAGCCTTGAGTGGCCTTCTGGTCTTTAGCAGAGATGGGAGACTGGAACAGAAAGATGATAATCGTAGTGAGGCAAGCCGAGGTCAATGGGAAGGAGAAGCAGCAAAGTCAAAACAGTCCAAATTCAGCAACAGGTAGGAGAAACAGGAACAAGCTTGATTAGAGAGTACAGGAACCACAATAATCTGGCAAAGGTACAGAGACAGGAAGTGGCTTTTATAGGCCAAGAACCAGACACCTGATCAGACACAGCTGAAGAGAGTTGTCACTGATAACCTTGACTCTACAAGCAATGGTATCAGATCTCAGGTAAACTTACAAAAGGCAGGCTGGTGTACTGGTAAGGAAGAGGTTTAGCACCATGTAAACCAGGGTTCGAAACCCAGCAGAGTCAGTTCCTCACATTACCTCCACCTCTACAGGCGCAGCCTCTGGATGCCCTATTTCCTGGTTTAGCAGGGTACTGTGCATGGAAAGACTGAAGAAGATCAGGAGCATGAATATTGACCACTGGCTCCCATGATCTATCCTCCTCACCATAGCCTTTCCAATGAACCAAATATTGAAGCTTGTTGCGGAAGATCCTGGAATCAAGAATTTTTTCCACCTCGTATTCATCTTCACCATCCACGAGGACTGGTGGTGGGGCAGGCAAGGCTCGACCAGGGAAAGTATTTTCATGAAAAGGTTTAAGCAGTGCCACGTGAAACACCGGATGTATTTTCATGGCATCCGGAAGTTGCAGACGGAAGGTGACTGCATTGATCTTAGCGATTATCTCAAAAGGTCCCATGAACTTTTGACCCAATTTATGAGAAGGAATCCTAAGCTTAAGATTCTTTGTTGACAGCCAAACCTTGTCACCAACATGATAAACTGGGGCCTCCTTTCTGTGCCTATCAGCAGCTCTTTTGTAACATTCCTGAGCCTCCGAAAGAGTCTCCTTCAACAGTTCTTGGGAATCTCGTAAGGCGGTTAGCCGGTCAGTGACTGCAGGAATGGGAGTAGTAATTGGGAGACTCACTAGAAAGGTTGGATGGTAACCATAATTGGCAAAAAATGGGCTCAGAGAAGTGGAGCAGTGTTGGGCATTGTTATAGGCAAACTCCGCCGTGGGTAGAAAATCCAGCCAGTCATCCTGCAGGTAACTAATATAGCACCGCAAATATTGTTCTAAAGTCTGGTTGGTTCGCTCAGTCTGTCCATTACTTTGTGGATGAAAAGCTGAAGACAGATTTACATTAATACCTAGAATAGAACAAAAATATTTCCAAAAATGAGATGTAAACTGCACTCCCCTGTCAGAAATTACTTCATCAGGCACTCCATGCAAGCGAAATATTTCCCGAATAACAAGGTCAGCAGTCTGTTTAGCTGAAGGGAGACCACGAGCTGGTATGAAATGACTCATCTTAGTTAACCGGTCCACAACAACAAGTATGGTAGTGTGTTCCTTAGAGGGAGGTAGTTCCACAATAAAGTCCATGGATATAGATCCCCAGGGACGATGAGGAATCGGAAGAGGCTGAAGCAAGCCAACAGGGGATGAGCGAGGAGTCTTATGTCTGGCACATACATCACAAGAGGACACATACTTCTTAACATCCTCATAATATTTAGGCCACCAAAAGGATCGGGTAAGTAGTTCTTGTGTCTTTCGGATTCCTGGATGACCTGCTGGTTTAGAGTCATGGTAGAGGCGTAAAACGTCCAGTCGCACTGATTCTGGAACAAACAGACGTTGTTGAAAAATCCAAAACCCATTAAGCATGGTCATATGAAGATCACGAGGAGGATCACGAAAAACTGGATCTTTAGAGTAGCCCTTTTTAATGCGAGACATTAGATCAGAAGGAAAGGTAACTCCTAAAAATCTGCTCTCCGGCAAGATGGTGGCCTTGGTTACTGTAGTATGGAGGGGGTCAGCTATCCTAGACAAGGCATCCGCCTTGCCATTTCTGGAACCAGGGCGGTATGAAATAAAAAAATTAAACCTTGAGAAAAATAGGGACCAGCGTGCTTGTCTGGCTGACAGTCTCTTAGCAGATTGGATACATTCCAGATTTTTGTGATCTGTGAGGACAATAATTGGATGGGTGGCTCCCTCCAAGAGATGTCTCCATTCGGCGAAGGCAGCTTTTATAGCCAAAAGTTCTTTATTCCCTATGTCATAATTTCTTTCTGCTGGTAACATCTGGCGGGAATAGAAGGCACATGGATGTAGCAACATCTTAGGTCCAGTCCTTTGAGACAGTATAGCCCCAACAGCTGAATCAGAAGCATCTACCTCTACAGTAAATGGCAATTCTGGCTGAGGATGTACCAAGATAGGGGCAGATGTAAACAGAGTCTTTAATCTGGAAAATGCAGTGTCAGCCTTATTGGACCACTGAAAAGGAGTCCCTTTACGTGTAAGTTCAGTGATCGGTGTAATAACGGCAGAGAAATTCTTAATGAAACGCCTGTAAAAATTATCAAACCCCACAAATCTCTGTATATCTTTTTTATTCTTGGGGATGGGCCAGTCCAGCACAGCTTTAATTTTACTTGCGTCCATACTTAAACCTTTAGGAGTTATTACATACCCCAGGAACTGAATTTCTGTTTGTTCAAACTCACATTTTTCCAGTTTAATGTATAGGTGGTGGGTACGAAGGCGCTCAAGAACAATGCAGACCTGTTTTCTGTGATTTTCAAGATTATCAGAAAATATCAGGATATCATCCAAATATGCCACAACAAACTGATCCAGGAGATCCCGTAGTACATCATTGATTAGATGCTGAAAAGTTGCAGGGGCATTACAAAGCCCAAATGGCATTACTAGATATTCGTAATGTCCGTACCTGGTTCTGAAAGCTGTTTTCCATTCATCATTTGGTCTTATGCGAACCAGATTATATGCCCCCCGTAGATCAAGCTTCGTAAATATTTTAGCTGAACGAAGTCTCTCCAGAAGTTCAGGAATGAGAGGCAAGGGATAACGGTTTTTAACAGTGATTTTATTAATGTCCCTGTAATCGACACATGGCCGTAGACTGCCATCTTTCTTTTCTACAAAGAATATAGGAGCTCCTGCTGGAGAAGTGGATGGTCGAATAAAGCCTTTGGCAAGATTTTCTTGTATGTATTCACGAAGTGCTTTCAATTCAGGCTCAGAAAGGGAGTATATACGGCCAAATGGGATAGCAGCTCCAGGTAGCAGCTCTATGGGGCAATCATAAGGCCTGTGAGGTGGAAGCTGATCAGCATTCTTCTTATCACAGACATCTGCAAAATCCCGATATTGTAGAGGAAGCTTAGTTAAGTTTGTAGCAACCATTTCATTAATTGTTGTGGTAACAGGTGTCGCCTTAGAGGGTTGACAATTCATTAAGCAGTGTTCTGAAGGAAAGGACAAAGTTCTAGTCTTCCAATCAATCTGTGGGTTATGCAGAGCAAGCCAGGGTATACCCAAAATCACTGGAAACTGTGTTGAGGAAATTAGGTGGAAAGATATAGACTCATGGTGATTTACTTCCAGAATCAATTTTAAGGGCACAGTCTCATGTGTAACCGGGCCTGACGTAAGTGGAGAACCGTCTACTGTTTCCATTAACACAGGTGAAGATTTAGGGATAGACTGAATTTTATTTCCTGCTGCAAATTTAATGTCCATAAAGTTTCCGCCTGCTCCGGAATCTATCATAGCTGTAGTTGAAATTTTATTATCACCATATTGCAAAATGATAGGCACCACCAAATGAGGATGTTGAGTCATCATACCTTCTTCACCCTGAGCCAGAGAAAACAAGGGTTGTGTGACAGAATCCAGTTGGTCTGAAATCTGGGATTGGTGTTGGATCTGTGCACCCTCAGCAGTCATAGCTATTGTTCTTTTAGACTTGTTAGGGCAATTGATGGCATAATGCCCTGCACTACCACAATACAGGCATAAATTGTGAGTGCGTCGCCACTGTTTTTCTTCATTGGATAATGGCCCTCTTATTAGATCTACCTGCATAGCCTCAGGTTCAGAGTCTGTAGGTGTTTGTGGGGTCGGAGTAGAAATTCTTGAATAGAAAGTAGGAGTAGCACTTGGTTTAAAAGAGCCCTGTCTTTCCAATCTTCTTTCTGAAAGTCTCCGATCAATACGGATAGCCAACTGCACAAATGCATCAAACTCAACAGGAAGATCAACACGAGCTAGCTCATCTTTTATAGCTTCTGAGAGACCCCTTCTGAAGTGGAACCTCTGGGCTGATTGGTTCCAAGTAGTATCAGTAACCCACTGTCTGAATTCAGCAGCATATTCAGCCACAGAGCGCCTCCCTTGATGTAAATGAAGGAGAGTGGCTTCTGCTGTAGCACAGCGATTGGGATCATCAAAAACTAGGCACATGGCCTCAAGAAAGTCTTTTAAATTTCCCAAGACTGGACTGTCCTGTTCCAGAAAAGGGGAGCCCCAGGCCAGGGCTTCATCTTTGAAGAGGGAAAAAATAAATCCCACCTTCTCTCTTTCAGATGGAAAACGGTTAGGTAACATCATGAAATGCAAACGGCATTGATTTAGGAAACCCCTGAATTTTTTGCGGTCTCCTCCAAATTTTTCTGGTAGAGGCAAGCGGGCATCTTGTGCAGGTGTAACAGTAGTAGTAGCAGCAGCCGCAACATCATGTGCCCTGTAGCTGGTAAGCTCACTATGCATTGATCGAACTTCATTTTGCAGTTCAGCTACCTGATCCTGCAGCACTTGAATGGTCTGTGCCTGGGTCTGCATAGTTCTTGCATTAAAAGCAACCTGCTGGGCCAATGCAGAATCTGATCCGACGGTCTCCATGAATGGGCCAGATTATTCTGTAATGATATTGATGTAACAAAGTTTTGGAGTCCAGTAGCCAGATCAGCAATGTTTTCTGCCAGAGGTAGCCACTCGTTACCCAGGTGGTTGAGACCCTGAGCCTTGAGTGGCCTTCTGGTCTTTAGCAGAGATGGGAGACTGGAACAGAAAGATGATAATCGTAGTGAGGCAAGCCGAGGTCAATGGGAAGGAGAAGCAGCAAAGTCAAAACAGTCCAAATTCAGCAACAGGTAGGAGAAACAGGAACAAGCTTGATTAGAGAGTACAGGAACCACAATAATCTGGCAAAGGTACAGAGACAGGAAGTGGCTTTTATAGGCCAAGAACCAGACACCTGATCAGACACAGCTGAAGAGAGTTGTCACTGATAACCTTGACTCTACAAGCAATGGTATCAGATCTCAGGTAAACTTACAAAAGGCAGGCTGGTGTACTGGTAAGGAAGAGGTTTAGCACCATGTAAACCAGGGTTCGAAACCCAGCAGAGTCAGTTCCTCACAGTCTGTCTCTCCAGATAAATATCCTGAGTGCCCGGTGCACTTCCTGCTAGCAGATGAAAAAGTCTCTTTCATTTCGGCAGCAATCCAGGTTCACAACAGTTTTGTCACCAGTATATGCCTTCTGGCCTATATATATATTGATTGCTTATCGTGTTATATACCTTACGTTTCTTTGCGTTCTTTGTTTTCTTTTTCGTTATGCTTACTCTACCTTTTAGTTCTAACACAACTGTAGTAAATGGAAACTCAGGCTACCGTGGTATACTCGACTAATAAGCTGTGCTATAGCTTTTCCAGTACAACCTACTTTTAACTCTCACATACGACTAGCCATGGAAGCATAGCCTGAATATGTTATGTCATCTAACAAAAATGGTGCATGTTCTATCATTTGTCCCACTGTTATATATGTTGATAAGCTTGTGGAATGCTTTTGGGGCACCTCAAGCCTGTTTGTGTGCTTATGCACTGCAAAAACATAACATAAAAAAATAAATAAAAAAAATATGAGAAAACAAATATATAGAAATGAAAAATAGTGTGAAAAATGAAAAACAAATATGATCAGTATCCATATTGGAGGTGTGGTTTCAAAAATACACCGTATGATATAATCCAAAATACAGTAGATGAAAAGAAACCAGAAAATCAAATCGGACCCTTCAAATCAAGATCCTGATTTAAACCACATTTTTTAGTTTTTAATCCATTGGGCTTCCTTCCGAATTAGTTCCTGTGATCTATTTCCCTTTTTCCAATTTAATTCCTGTTGATTAATTCCGATCACTAGAAAGTTGTCCCAATGACATTTTGTACATGAATTGCTGTGTTTTGGTACACTATGGCCTATTTTTTTGTTTTTAATATTATTAAAATGTTCCAGTTTATACGGACTACAATGCATCTAATTGGTGTTGGCCCTTAAAGCATTTATGTACTGAAAAAGTGATATATATTAATTGAGAAAAATCTGACCTTACTTTTTTCATATTTACCTGCGTCTTCTCATGCTTTCCACACACTCCTGGGGGGCACTTATCTAACCAATCAGTCTCCTATCCCTAGGGTAGTTGAGAGGGGAACTGGATTGCCTCTTAGGCATAGAGGATCATGGGAGGGATTGTCCTGGGGGGCTGGGTCAGAAACCCCTTGCATGGGGCTTTTGCATAAGTGGATTTCTTTGTACCTGAGAGGGAACTGAATTCTCTCTCAGGCACAGAGGATCATGGAAGGTATGACCCTGTAATGTTGTGTTGGAGATCCCTTGCATGGGGCTGGCTTTTGCATAAAAGGCCCTGTGTGGCCCGGAATAAAGAGTTCAGTTCAGTTGTACTCCCAGAACTATGTGTCGTCTAGTTACTGGGAAGGTAAAGGGGTAATCACTGTTCTAGCCTGTCCCAGCTCGTGGAGGATTCCGCGGGGAAAGTCCTTGTAAGGACTAGAGCTCCCTGGACTGTGTGCCGTCCAGACCCTGGGAGGGAATAGAGCTAATGCCCTATCCTGTTTCAGCTAAGAAGCGGCCCCTGGCGGAGGTTCCCAGCCGGGGTACGTGGAGCTCTGTCACAGTTTGATGCCCTGGGATATATGTAAAGTGTAGGTCGTCTCCGTATATTAAGGGAAACCTAAAACACAAAAATAGTGCACATCATAAAAGTAGGGAAATAAAACATGGTCTGTTACTTTTAGATTATGATTACTTTGAAAATTGTCATGTGATTCCACGAGGAAGACAGAAAACTTTTTTGAAGAGTTACAGACACTGGGTCGCAATATACTCAAATGAACGTGTTAATAAAGCAAAGGAATTTTGCATTGTGACATAGTGAGAATGAGAAATAGTTTATGTCTGCTTCTTGGTTTGTGGCATTGAGAAATGTCATGTGGCATATATCTTTATAATTAGCCCCTGCCTTGTCTGTCACTCTGCACTGCAGGCTTCTATAACTGACAGCTTCCTACAGCTTTCAACACCAAGACACGTTAGGGTTCCATGTATTATAATGCAGTAATGAGATCTCTGCATGAAGGTTTCATTAGTACAGCATTTTAAATACAAACTTTAATTAATGTTACTATTATAGGGACATTTTAAATGGTTTTAGTATATAATTTTTCATTTAGTTTTTTTAATTTTAAAATGTAAAGTCTGTCCTAGATTTGTCACTTTTTAAAGTTCCTAATCTCAACTTTCTGTAAATGCTGTCTGAAAAATAAATCTATTTATCCTTAAACAACGACTTGACAATCAATTTACACAAATTATGATCAAAATAACAGAAAAAGAAATCCACCATTGTTTCCCCCCCAAACCTTAATTATTTTAACCTATATTTTGAAAGTTCATTGACGATTTTTAAAAATGTATATAGTGAATAAAAAATACCTCTACTTCTCCAGGCCATGAACAGCATAAAATGTTACAAATGTTCTGCTTCACAGACTTCCAAACTTGCTAAAGCAATTGCTGCTATATATTATATATATTTTTTTTCCTCAAATTCTAGGCCAGCTTAGAAGATATTGGAAAAAAAAAAAATCTTAAAGGGATACTCACGATCAGGAGCTCGATTAATATAGGGGCTAATGGAGATAAAGCTCCAGGCCCATGCCCACCAAATAGGCTCGTTATTTATTTTTTTTTTATCAAACAACTTTTTAATTACTCTTCACATGCTCTTGTTTTACGCAGAGAGAATTAAAGGAAAACTATAGTGCCAGGAAAACAAAGTTGTTTCCTTGGCACTATAGCTCCCTATAGTGCCCCCCCTCCCCACCCCCACCAGGTCCCAGCCAGCTCCCTATAGTGCCACCCCTGCACCAAATCTCAACCCAGTGGAAAGGGGTGGCCAGCGAATTTATAGGCCGTGTAACCCCTCCCACAACTACAGTCTCCGCCTTTACATTTGTAATCGGGACAAAAAGCTGAGTTATAGTAGTGGTGGTATAAGTAGGTTGTGGTGTGCCAAAACCGATGTTCGGGTAGGACTGTAAAAGAGGGCAAAAAGTTAACAGTTTGATCCTTAATACGTGTTGACATTACATAACCAATACTTTAAATGCCTGCCTCAGTACCTTTCCGTTTGAGGGATATCTGGTGTATGCAGATGATTCCAATGTCCCAGTTTATGATGTGCGCTGGGATGTTTACTAAAGACTGCAGAAGCAGTGCTTATTCTAAAAGAATGAACTGAAAATGTGGAAGGGTCGCATCTGAGTTTTATGAATTGTGTTCTAAAGTACATGATGAATTTGATGTAGAGTGGTTGCTGTGTAACCTTAAAAGAGAGCGTATGCCTGTGTAGTCCTGTGTGTTGGGCAATAAGTCTAGTATGTTGACTTGGCACCATTCATTTTTGATAGTATGTAGGTATATGTCTGCAGGTGGGTATGAGATAAATTTAAGGTTGAGGTGGCAAAAGGATGTGAAAGCCACCATGGTATCGCTGGAGTACAGACTGACGATTCGATTTTCTGAAGTGAACTTATTAAAATGGCTAGATTTCTGGTATATAAAACAGTTATTATAAGCAGAGAGAGCCACGTGTCCCGACAATCTACTATGCTCATGAGATGAGCTAATCCAGAATGAGCTCCTGGAATGTAGGAGTTTTAATATGTAATTAAGCAGCCGTGGGGTGTTTGGAGGAAACCCTGAAATGGGACTGAGACAAGGCTTCCGCTGCTATGTTGTGACAGGCTGGTATGTGTATGCAGACAAGGTAAAATTGCTGTGTTGCTGCCATCCAAGTAACTTTGCACACTGCTGTGTTTGAGTAGTAAATGATAGACTTATCAATTCTATACTACAATGAGAGCTGGAGGTTACTAAAAGAGTAGGCTTCGTGTCTCTGCAGGCCATGTGTCACGGAACCAGTTGTCCTTGATAATGGCTGCAAACACAATCTAAAATAACAAGGGAATCACTGGTCAGTGGGGGAATGAACATGCTTTACCCGGTACAGTGTGGGTTGGACATTAGCCACATGAACAGGTCTGCTCGAGCATGTGTTGTTATAGTGCTACTGTTGGTAGGAAGCCTGGAGTAGGCAGAGCAGTCAGGAAATTAAGGTTTGACCTTGTGGTATTATGTGCATGGCAAAGTAGAAAGAACCTAAGAGAGACTGGAGATACAAATGGGAACAGGCATGTAACGGACCGTTTTGCTCACCAGAGGTTAAAAACTGTTTAGGCAATATTCCCCTTTCCAGATACACCGACAGCTACTGTAAGCACCGATCTCCCGAACTGGAAACACATGAACACTGGAAATATCCGAACAGGAAAACCATACGAAAGGGTTACACTCCTGGCAGTCAGCATAAAATCCAATTCCCCCAATAACGAGACGACACTTCGTTTTGAGGGTTAAGCAGAATCTGAAGATTTATTCACACAACCTCCTTTTAAGACATTCTCCCATGTAAAGGAGGGATCCACAACAATTAGTACCCCAGCCAATAATGTACCAGTTACCTCCCACACATCTCCTCCCCTTAGTGTGACACATAATCCCATTAGTCCAGACACAAATTCCCTGGGATACTGGATGTTGCAAACGGTAATTGGAGGCACACTTATTCCTGGGTGGTCTGGTTGTTCGGTAGTTTCACCCAATATAATGAATGGAGTGATTTTTACCGAACAATCAGGGGAATGCTGCATATACATATACAATTTAGCCAAACACACAGAAACATACATAATATAAAAGACATCCTTACTGTAATCTGCTACAAAGTCTTAAAGGGATATTGTTCCCAAAAAGTCATAATATGTCCACGGATGGCCCTTAAAGGGCCAGTAGCAGCAATATAAAATACCACATGCCCAAATATTGCATTCCAAAGTACAAATTCACCACGGGCCATAGTCAGCAGGTAGGAGGCGGGCAGCCAGGCCTCTCCAATGTCCAGTGGCGAGGCGGCTTTCGCCACAAGGCACCTTTGCCATTGCATGACTTATCCTTCCCTAATACGCTGGACACTGTCCGCAGGGGAAGGGGGGAGTCTTAGGAGGCAATATGTACCTCCTAATGTTGGGAGAATTAAATATGCTGGTGAAATAATGTGAGCAGAGGGAATGTGTGCCAGACTGTAAATGGTGATGTTACCCATGGTGAATGAAAGTAAAGGGTATCTAGTGGGTTACTCCGTGTAAGGATTAGGAACTCCTGAGTTGGGAAACGTTAATTCTCCAAACCATCATAGAACATAATTATGATGAAAGGATGGATATCATCACAGAGTAATAATAACTACCTATTTCCAGAGCAAAAAGACTCTGAATGTCGGTGTTAGCTGGAAGGTAACACAAGATGAGGTAATGTATGCTTTGGGAATGAAGTAACCTCTCCTAGCTCCAGGGTAAGAGACGTACTATGATGAAAAAACAATGAGTAAATGTAATGGAGTGTAGCCCTGTATGAACTGGCGGCTCGCCAAGTGCTGGATGGCAAAGAAATTCAAGGGGGACAAGGGGAAGGTGAGGTCCTGCTAAATGTCAAGTGGCTCAGAGAGTCTCTAGCTGTGATTTTAGCCAAGGGACTGAGACCACTGAAAGAAGTGGCGCAAAATGTTGGCCTCTCTTTGACAAGTAAAAGATTCAGACAAGTGGCTGTGACAAGTGAGGCCTTATCTAATAACCTCTAGTTATGATTTGATCCGATGGGCGAATTCCTCTGCGTGAGTATGGGTGTTGGCCTTGCAGGACTGAATTATGAATATACTAGAATATGGCCCACACCAAACTCTTTGCAGCCTGTTAATCTATACATAAAGAATGTAGGGGAATAGAAATGTAATAGATTGCTAGAAAGAATGTAGAAACATACGTACCTTGCCCAACCAGTGAGGTTGAGAAAGGAATACTCATTGTCCCACCTCCTCTCCTGTAACTCTTATTGTCCCCTCCCCCCCATAACTCTTATTGTTCCCCCTTTAGCCTTCATCTCCCTCCATGTAGTGTGTTTGAGCAGGTGGTTCACGGTGGAGGATCTTGTTTACTGTCAAGGTCTGACAGAAAGCAGTTTGGTGCATTTCCTGTCAGATTGTTCAGACCACGGTCTGTCCGCTCGGCCACGTGGGGGCCTGATTCAGCACAGGGGGACTGCATGGACAGTCAGGCAGACCCCCGAAGCAGATTGCTGACGAGGTGAGTATAGGAAGGCTCCTGGGGCTGAATGTTGTTACGGCAACATGCCGCTCATGCCGCCGCAACGGCTTTAAAACCCATTTAAATGTGGATGGCATGAAACGCCATAGCGGCGGGAAGGAGTTAAGCTAAAGTTGTTTTGATGCCTATAATGTACCTCTCATGGACTGAAAACTTGATGAGGTTGATACACAGCTTAATGGTTATTTCAGTTTTGTTATAGGAAAAATTGATTTTCTAAAATGTTTTATATACTTACATTAGTGTTATTCGGTTTTGTTTAATTGTTTATATTGACTTTTTTATTCTTAGAATTCTCCTATGGCACTTTCTGAATGATCTATTACCCTAGATCACTCTCACCTAAATTAACGGATTAAAACCCTATGATCACTCAAAATGATATCACTGACAGGAGTGAGGAGGAAAGCGTTTAGCATAGGCGTGCGCACGGGGTGTGCCGGGTGTGCCTGGGCACAACCTAATCCCCCCGGCCCGCATTATGTGCCTCCATGGGCCGATGAGAGGAGCCAGGGAGCTCTAGCCAGCAGCTCTGCCGGGTTCCTCTCGCGAGGTTGGAGCGTTGCCGTGGCTAGAGTTCATTCCCCACTGGACCACCAGGGATTGCAGCAGCACGCCCCCTCCTCCCAGTAATGACCTCAATTTAGATCTAATTGCGATAAACGTTTAAAATTTTCTTCAGTTGGAGTTTGCTTATGAATAAACTCCATTGTATCTAATTTTTTTACGAGCCTTTGTATTTCCTCGGCTCGTTTCTTTTTACATCTAGCACCCCATTTGATTAAGACCCCCCGGATCAGACTCTTGTGTGCTTCCCATATCCATGATTCATTAATATCGTCTGTGCAATTATCTAAAAAATATTGAGAAAGAGTTTCTGATAGGTCCTTGGTGACCCATGGGTCGTCAAGAAG